GCCGACGACCTCCGACCGGTAGGTGCCGGTCGGCTGGTCGGCAGCCGACCAGTCAAGGGTGCCGACTGTCGGGGTATGCAACACTGATTCAGGGCCTTTTCAGGCATAATTCTGGCATTGTTAAGGTAGTTCCCAAATCCAATCAACAGTTGACAGATGGGCTTTGGGGGAGTTCTTTTTTCGTTTTTTCCCCTTTGGACAGTGTGGACTCTGGAGTAATGAACTGCTGACCCAATCACAGGCGTGAATGGGAGGGAGATGGGATGGGATTGACTTACTTTCTTTCCAGCTGTAGATTTGTGCTGTCGTCCTTTTGGTATCGCTCTGTCTCAGCCTTGAGAGACTCAATTTCATTCTGGAGGTCCTGCTTTTTTGTCCGAAGTTTTGTTAAATAGTACGACTTGTCCAGTATCTGCCTTCCCGGCCCTCCAGGAATCAGAAGAACGCATGTAAAGAAGAAGAAGAAGAAGAAGAAGAAGAAGAAGAAGAAGAAGAAAGACGAAGAAAGACGAAGAAAGACGAAGAAGAGGAGGAGGAGGAGGAGGAGGAAAAAGAAAGAAGCAGAAGCAGAAGAAGAAGAAGAAGAAGAAGAAGAAGAAGAAGAAGAAGAAGAAGAAAGAGCATCATGTCATTAATTCTTCCCCAGTACCCCTCATTGTAAGCAAGAATGCGAAATCCCTGTCAAAAAATAGAAGGAAGAAATCCGAAGAATGTTAAAAAGAGCAATGGAGGGAATAAGCGTTGGACAAGCGGAGATAGTTAATGTAGCTGAATGATACACACGTGTAGCTGTTAGCAAACAGATTATTCATTTTGAATCCTGACGAAATGAGATGCCAGGGGCTTCCCCCTCATGAAGAAAGGGGAGGAATTGGAGAAGCAGCTGCTCAGCTAAACAAGGATGTGGTGGACCAGAAGTAAGGTAGCAGGAGCTGCTAGGAGAAATAGTTATTATACTCAGATTTTTGGGGGGAGGAAAAGGGAGAGGAGAGCGAGGAGGAAGGAAGAGCAGAAGACGGAAGAGGTGGTCCAATACCCCCTCCCCCCCCACTTCAGCTACCGGTGTGTTTCAATGATGGCATCCAATGTCCATTATCTGAGTTTCACTACATTTTGCTGAACAGTGTACGTTCCGGTTCTTCAAAGTTGAAAAAGGAAAGAAAAAAAAAAGAACTGCTGGAGGGAAAAAAAAAAACAACTGCTCGAGGACTGATTTATGTTCACAATAAGGAGCATCAGATCCTGTGTCGTTTTGAAACTTTCGATTTTGCATGGATGCATTCGCAGGCGAATGAGAAAAAGGCAAGGGAGGAAGAGATAATCGAGAGCTGGTTTCATGTTCCTTGAATCCATCCATGTATGTCCCGATGTGAGGACACCCTGAGTAATTCTGTACTGAGCCTTGCGCACAGGTTGCAAAAGGTAATGGCGAGCTAGATTGGTGTTCCTTGAAGGCGTCCATGGATGTCCCGCCGTGAGCATGACCTGAGTGATTCTGTTATTGAGCCTTGCACACATATTGCCATCACCAAAGTGGCAAAGTCGGACAGTACTTTGCCCCTGCCAACCAAGCAATGGATGCCCCTGTTGATTGCTTGGTTGCCAGGGAGAATGATCCCTGCTTGCATGGACGTCCATGGATGTACCTGAGATCCTGAGCTCAATTACAGCCAATTACAGCCAATTACAGCCAATTACAGCCAATTACAGCCAATTGCAGCCAATTACAGCCAATTGCAGTCAATTACAGCCACCAATTTCAGCCAAT